CATGTAACAACAGCAACAAACCTTGGTGTACAAACATAAATGGTGAAAGAATACTCCCTTAAAGATTTACGGCCTTGGAAACCCTGTATAGGGTCCCTGTGCATCGGAACCACTTCCACAGTGCATAACAACAACAACAAAGCATAATGGGATGGCCCAAATTCTTGTTGCAGGAAATTACATAGTGGAGTCTGATTGAATGACTAACTTGATGATATTTCTGTTCCTCAGAAATCCTGTACAGGGTCACTGTGCGTCAGAACCAACTCGACCACACTTACCAGCAACACACATTAAAGGCGGTGCATAGGTACCATCATTCAGTGAGGAACCAATGTTTTAGACTTAGCCAGTCAAGAGATTTGAGGGTGTTCTGTAACATGCATTGCTGTTGTTATTAGGTTCTGACTCATAGCGACCCTGTATAGGGCTTACGAGGAGTGACTGGTGAGCTTGAGCCGTTGACCTTGCAGTTCAAACTGACTTTACAGTCCAGCGAATTAACCCACAGTGCCACATCAGGGCTCTGTGCATATTGCCCTTGTTTTCTAAGGAGATTAAGTTTCTAGTAGGGCTTCAATCTGTAATTTTTGCCATTCCAGTTAGAGTTGTGGTTCACCCACATTTTAAAAATTTGAATCCATTCTGGTGTTGCGTCATCCACCTTGACTGAAGAGGTCTGAACCGGTTCAAAGACTTGTTTTGAGAAGGCTGGAGTACTTTATTCTTCTGTTTTTATTTAGGCTAATTTTCCTGGATACTTGTCATCTTGGAATCTCCTCCCTTCTTGAACACTGAAAATCAGGAAAATTTCTTTTGTATTTGTCTGTGTTGAGCTCCTATTACCTGTATCCATTATCTGTCTTTATTAGGGGAGAGGAGAATTGGGATGCTTTTTAAGATCTTGCTAATCATTTGTTAGTTTGTCTACGAGTAGAATTCTTCTTTGGAAGTCTTTTTGTCAGAATTTTGAAGACCTTATTCTATTATTGCCTTGTAACTTCCAAAGTTACTATTGAGCAGTACGATGCCATTCTGAAACCTAATCCTTTGTAAGTGACCTGTTTGTTCTTCTCTAAAAGGATTTTGGTCTCTGTATTCCTGGTATTCAAGCTTTTCACTATAATATTCCTTGGTGTGGATCTTTGAACCAATGTGCTTTGTTCAAAAGAGTGCTCTTCCAAATCAGAGACTGATGTTTTACAGTACTGGAAAAACCTCTTGAATTTTACCTTTCTTAAGTCCAGCTCTTTGGCTTTTTGTCCTCTCCCTCTGGAATTCTCATTTGAAATGAGCCAGGATCTTCTGGACTTTTTCTTTTCTAAGTTTTTTGGCCTTTTGTTTGTGTGAATATGAAAGGTTTCCTCAACTCTGTCTTTGAATCTGTTTATTTTCTCTTCATTTCAGCTATCATATTTTTAATTTTCAGAAGCTTTTGTTATTGTTGTCGTTCTGTTTCCTTTTTACAGCTTGCTGATGTTAGTAATAGTTTTATGTTGAACTGTGAAGGTTTTTTTTTGTAACTCCTGCTCCCAGATTGTCTTTTTCTTACAAGCCACTTTTTTTATTTTTTGTTTTTATTTCTTCAAATAATGTGATGATATTTAGACTTTGTTCTTATCTATACATTAAATACTTAAGCAGTTGGAAGCTCTGTGAGTTGTTATTGTTAGTGGGTTCCAACTCATTGCAACTTTGTATAGGGTTCCCGAGCAGCGGCTGGTGAGCTTGAACCACTGATCTTGTGGCATAGTGCATTATCCTGCTGCGCCACACTTGGACTCCAAGGTGACTCTGTAAGCATTAGTTATGGTGTATATTTGCTCTTGAGTTCATTCAGATTTAATCTTCATATCTGTAACTTTTATTTCTAATGCTTTCTTGCATCCTGTTAACCTTATTTCTAGATTTTTTGAAATCTAATTTATGTATTTTTCATGTCTTGAATCATTTTCCTAGTTTTATTTTTTTAGCTCATTTTGAAGTAGTAGGTTATAACTTTCATCTATTGTGTGTGTGTATGTTCCTACTATGCTTTTTATCAAGATTTTATTCTGGATCTTTTTTTTTTTTTTTTCTTATTCTGTAAAATTGATCTATATAATTTTCTGTTGCTTACTTTCAAAAGATGTAAAATTGTTTTTCCTAAAGTTTAGAAAGATGTGATTCAGGATGGCTTTTCTCATTGAACAGCTGTTGTTTTTGGCTACTCTTCAACTCTGATCTTTTGGTGTCTGAGATTTATAGGCTGTGTCACCTTTTCCATTGTGCTTGAATATTCTTTTTCCTTTATCTTTCTTATACAAATTGTGTGCATTTTTGCTTCCATACCAATAGTTTATCCTCATTGTATGGCCCTGTTGTTACAGTTAAGTGCTTTGAATTGATTCTGATTCATACTGACCTTGTATGGACTTTCTGAGAAGCAGCTGGTTGATTTGAACTACAGACCTTGAGCTTATCAGTCCATTGCTTATCCTATAGCGCCACACCAGAACTCCTATGGCCCTGTTTGTTGTTGTTAAGTACTGTGGAGTCTATTCAGATTCATAGTGACCCTGCACAGGGTTTCCGAGGCTGTAAATCTTTACGGGAGCAAGCCTCATCTTTCTGGTAGTTTCAAACTGCCAACCATGAGGTTAGCAGCCCGATTTGTAACCACTTAGCGTAGTGGTTACGAATCGGCCTGCGAACCTTAATGTCAGTGGTTCGAAACTACCAGCAGCTCCGCGGGAGAAAGATGAGGCTTTCTACTCGCGTAAAGATTTACACCCTCGGAAACTCTGTACAGGGTCGCTAAGGGTCGGAACTGACTCGACGGCACTTAACAACAACAACAACAACAACAACAGCACTACCCGAGCTCTTTATGGCCCTGTTAGGGAAGATTTAATTTCAAGAGTTCGTAGAGGTCAGATTTTTCCAACCTATTTCTTGTACGTATGTACTCACTGTTGGAAAGGATAGAAACCCTTCCATTTATAGTTTCTGTTCTTAAATTGACTTGCTGGATTTAGTGAATACCTGTTGCTATTTTTGGAGTCTTTGTTCTCAAATACATCTAAGAACTGTTTCTTTCTGCTTCCTCCCTTGTAGATAAAGATACCACGCAGGTCTTGTGGTTGTTGGTGATTTGTCTATACCTGCTTTTTTTTGGTGAGGTGAGGGTAATTCATTGAGATATGTTGTTATTAGTTTTGTTTTGAATGTTGTTAGTTGGTGTTTGGGTTTATTACCCAGATTTGTATGTTTTATGTGGTGATTTAAGGATGCTCAAAATCTTTGCCATTGCCTCTATTGTGCCAGATCTTTCTAATTTATTGTTTCCTAAGTGCTGTTGGTAAGGAGCTCTGGTAGCGTAGTGGTTACGAATTGGGCAGTGAACCTTAAGGTCAGCAGTTCGAAACTACCAACTGTTCCGTGGGAGAAAGATGAGGCTTTCTGTGCTCCTGTAAGGAATTACAGTCTTGGAAACCCTGTACAGGGTCGCTATGAGTCGGAACCGACTCCACAGCATATAACCACCACCACCACCGAGTGCTGTTGGGAGTCCAGGTGTGGTGCTGTAAGATAAGCACTGGACTTGTAACTGAAGGTCAATAGTTCACATCCACCAGTTGCTTCTCAGAAACCCTATACAGGGTCGCTGTGAGTTGGATTCCACTTGACTAGATTTAACAAGTCCTGTTAATGGTACTTTTTGTTTGTTTGTTTCATGTGTGATAATCTTGCCCTATTTAGATGGTAACTTTCCTCCAAGTGGTACCTAGGTAGTTCAAGTGCTACCTTGTGCTTAAAATAACTCCTTGTGCTTAAAATAACTTATGTAGTGCCCCACAATAGTACTAGACATATATGTGGTAAATATTTTATTAACTTTAATGATTCAGAGTCATTTGTTTGGGAATTTAAGTAATTTATATAGAACAACTTTCGAACTTTAATAGTAGGATTAGCAGCTGTTTTTGCAGTTGGAAGCAAGCATAGGGATATTAATAGAACTGTGTGTATGTGAGATTAATTCATGTGCTATCTATGGTCAGCCTCTCTATAGTTGAAACATTTTTGGAAGATATGGATCTAATGTACTGATGGTTCCGCAAAAAAAAGAACAAAATGATAAAATTCACGAAAGACTAAGCCACCCCCTCTCCCCCATTTTTTTTTTTTTTTTTAAATCCTGAGAACTGTCTGATTTGTTGATGTGAAGAAAAGAAAGGAGTGTGTTTGGAATATGATGTAATTTGATAAAGTAGTAAAGGGAATTGAAAAGTACAAATAATCTTTCACAGGAGTCATAAGTTGTAGTTGTTTTGTCCAGTCAGTTCCTACCCACAGTGATCCTCTGTAGGGTTTCCAAGGAGCAGCTGGTGGGTTTGGCTCGCCAACCTTGAGTTTCAAACAAATAGTCTAGCTCATTAACCCACAGTGCCATACCAGGACTCCATCCCCCTAAAAAACCAAACCCACCACAATTGATTCTCTTCTGATTCATAATGACCCTACAAAGGTTTCTAAGACTACAAAGTTTTTTGGGAACAAACAGCCTCATGTTTCTCTTGCAGAGTAGCTGGTGGGTTTGAACTACTGACCTTGTGGTTAGCAACTCAGTGCTTATTCTGCAACCACTAGGACTCCCTAAGTTTTAAACATTGGGTAGTTATTTTGGGGATCTTTCTATCATGGCCCAACTCTTTCGTTCTTTAGCTTGGTGTCTCCCCAAATTAGCTAATCCAAGCAGATTCCTCAAACACAGCAGACCTTTATGATGGGGCTTCAAAAAGTTTGCGTCAAAATTCCATTATTTTTAAAACCCATTTTTCCATAGATATTTTGAAGCACCCCATACTGTGAAGAATCCAGTATTTCTTATTTTTACTTTACATGGTTTCCTTATGTAAAGGAATAATACTTTCATATTCATTTTATGTAAATTGATTTGCTTTGTAATATGTTTATTTAAAATAGATTCTAATTTTTATATTTAAATTTCCTAACAGGCCTCAACAAATAATGAAAGCTCTAATCACAGTTTTGGAAGCTTGGGATCTTTAAGTGACAAAGAATCAGAGGTAAGTAATATCATCTAAACTGTAATGCTGTGAAAGAAAATCTGGAATCACCTTTTTAAATCAAATAGGTTTTTGCTTTTTTTCATGTTTTTTTAATCTTAATCAATCCTGTGCTAAAGTTTAATGCTTTTAAAGGTTCTTGTAGAAGTATTTTGTTCTGCCTTATGAAACAACATTCAGACGGAAGACTGTATTTGGTAGCAATAGAAAAAAATGTAGTATCTTCATTATGTAGCTGAACTTGTATGTTAATGGTATAGATGTTCTTCTTAGATGGTTTTTACCTGCTCATAATTCTATGAGATGAAGGTGGCTTTAGAAAAACTTTATTTCACAGTTTTCTATTATTTCTTAAAATTCCCTCCTTGCTTCATCCTAAGTAAGGGTTATATATTTTCTGTGATGTAGATAACACATGCTTTTTTTCCTAGTTTAGGATTTCTTGTGGGATCATACTGTTGCTTTTCACTTTCCATATTTTGAAAAAATCTGAAGACTCCTTTCTTACCCCCGCCACATGCCCACTTACTAACCCCATTGAGAAAATACATGGGATTTTCTGTAGGCATCTGGATCCATGGTATAGTTAGTTCACTTTGAACTTGGTATACTTGATGGCATCTTTGTAAAGTATCTAGACTGGAAGTTCTCTGGGTGTTAGCATTTATTTGTTGATGTAACAGCTTCACTTTTTGTGGATATAGTGTATAATATTTAATCTCAGATTACAGTGTTCTGCTGCTTATATTTTTAACGTGTGTGTGTGTGTGTGTGAGTGTTATGTATGTATTTCCTGTCAATGTTTTAACTTTTTTCTACTTGATTCATTTCAGTCTTTGTTCTGCAAGAGTTAGTGTAGATAACATCACCTTGATAATACCAGTAGCTCATTAGCACTCAGTAACTCTTTGACGTTTGATTTTGGTGTTTAGTGGATAGGTACCATCAAAGGTGGCATCTTTTCAGCCCTGTATTACTTACAAGCATATAGGACTCCACAGGTGCCCTGACAGTTATGTGCAGGAGTGTGGCATAGGGCTCTCACTCATCAGGCTTTCCCTTCCACAGAGACAACTGGCAGGCAGCTGAAAGGACTGTGCAAGTGACGGGACTTTATCTGCAGTAGGTTGGTTCCCTTGAGGTAAGCGTTAGTAAGCCCCTGTAGTACCAGATTATCACAGTTTAGTTTTGTTTCTTTATCTCAAATGAACACACAATATACTATGTCCTTAAAAATTATAGGTTTAGATCTAGTCACAGTACAGTTAAAAAAAAAACATGTCAAGAATGTTTTCACTTAACATTTCCTGGGCTGTGGAACATGTCTTGATATTTTCACAGAACTGGTGTATTTAGTGATTTCATAGACATTTTTTACATATGAAGGGCAATATAATAATTTTAGATACACCATACTCCCTTTTATGTTCAGCAAATCTATATTTTATAAATACCCATATTCCCACCATAAGTTACAGATTCAGTATTGGGAATTCCTTGGAAATAATCAGCATATGAAAAAACTCCGTTTTCCTGTTTAAATAATTGCCAGGATTATTTTAGGCTGTATTTTTAGCTAACATGTTGGCTGTGAGGTTTTGTAGTGCTGTTATTTTCTAACTGGCCATTTACAGTGAAATACAACTTGGTTAGCCTGTGGATATACTAGCTTTATTTTTTATAGCAGTTTTGACATTTTAGGCAACAGTAGAAAATCTTAAAAACTCTTGACTTTTGCTGTTTGTTAAATATTTTATATTGGAAACATTTTCAAATTTATGGTTAAGTCGGTGGCATAATATTTTGGAAATGCCTATAGATTATATGCATTTTCCTTAATATTTGAAGAAGCACCTTTTTATTTTGCATTTCTTTTTATTTAACAAGCTGATTGTTGGGACAGTGATTCCCAAATCTTACCTCTTATAGTTAGATACTTTAATTAATAAAGTCCCTTGGAATAAAATTTTGTATGCATCAAAATATAAATATAGGTTTTAAATAAAATTGTTAGGAGTAAACAGCTATAGATAGAATTACTTCTGTGGGTTTTTTTTCTATTTAAGGATATACTTTGTAATAAAATTTATCAAGTATTTCATTGTCTTCTGTTGTCATTAAATTCTTTTTGTAATTCCTTCCCTGATTCATTATTATTATTATTATTTTTTAAGTAAACAATTTTCTGCCACCCATCCCCATTCCTAAAGCAACTGCTCTCTGTTCTTCAGCTTTTCTTTCTGGTACTTATTTCTATATTTTAATGTAAATAATAGGCATATCCTGCTATTTAGATTTATCAACTGGACATAATCTGTTGACTTCCTCTTTGAATTTATGAAGAGTTTTAGCTCATTGTCGTTGTTGTTGTTAGGTGCCATGGAGTCAGTTCTGACTCATAACGACCCTGTTTAAAGGGGTTTCCCAGGAGTAGCTGGAGTAGCCAAAGATTTTGAATTGCCAGCCTTGAGGTTAGCAGTCCAGTGATTATCCACACTCTTTAGCTCATTAATATTCTCTTTCTCTACTTCTATTTTTCTATCCAATATTCTTTTCAGGCACTCAAAACCCTCCTTTTTCATCACTTCTATTTCTATTACATATGAAAAGCATCTGATAATCATCATCGCTGTTGTTAAGTGCTGTCCAGTGAGTTCCAGCTCATAGTGACTGGGTACATAGGGTTTTCAAGGAGTGGCTAGTAGGTTTGACCATCGACTTTGTGGTTAGCAGTCTAGTGTTTACCTTACAGTGCCACACCAAGACTGCATTAGAATGATTAAATCTGTTTCAAATGAAATTTTTCATAGTTAAGTATTATATGTGAATTTATATTTTATTACTAAATATAGAATTGTAGAATAGAAAGAAAGGTTTTCCTCTTACTAATAAAATAATCTGGTAGATAGGAAGGATGTTGGTTTAGTTTTGCCTCACTGTAGTCTGCTCTACTGGTTTTAAAAATCAGTGTTATTTTCACTAAGCATATCTAGTCTCTGAAGCACAGGAAATATAAAGATGAATGGCATCTCAGCATGTGGTCTGAGGATCCCTGGGGTTCTCTGAGAGTCTCTAGAGAGCCCGCTAGGTAAAGACAGTTTTCCTGGTAATTCCAATGTTATTTGCCTTTTTTTTTTTTTTAATAAAAATGCTTTTTAAACTCTTAATTCTCTCATCAGTGTATAGTGGAAATTATCAGAGGCTGTAAATATGTGATGACATCACTAATCAGACAATTTACAGATTGTGTATTAGTGTATTCCAAGGTTTTAAAAGTTTTTCCATTTTACTTTTTTAAACAATAGATGTTGTTGTTGTTGTTGTGAAGTGCCATCAAGTCGATTCCGACCCATAGGAACAGCTGGTGAGCTTGAACCACCAACCTTGCAATTCAAATGACTTTGCAGTCTGATGCATTAGCCCACAGTGCCATGTTGTTGTTTTTGTTGTTGTTGTTGTTAAGTGCCGTCGAGTCGGTTCCGACCCATAGCGACCCTGTACAGGGTTTCCGAGGGTGTAAATCCTTATGGGAGTAGAAAGCCTCATCTTTCTCCTGCGGAGCGGCTGATAGTTTCGAAACGCTGACCTTAAGGTTCGCAGCCCAATTCGTTACCACTACGCTACCAGAGCTACCTTAACCTACATAAATAAAAGATCTTAGGTGTCCTCCACAATTTTTAAGAATTATAGAGGTTCCCATAGGAGCCCTGCTGGCACAGTGCTTAAAGCACTCAGGTACTAACTGTAAAGTTGGTGGTTCAAACCCTTCAACCTCTCCACAAGAGAAAGATAAGTCTGTCTGCTTCATTAAAGATTGAACCACTGCCATGGAGTTGATTCCAACTCATAGCAACCCTGTATAGGGTTTTCAAGGTTGTACATTTTTATGGGATCAGAAAGCCTCATCTTTCTCCCAAGGAGTGGCTGGTGGGTTTGATCTGCTGACCTTGTGGTTAGCAGTCCAAACTTTATTTCTACGACACCATCAGTGTTTCCTAGAAATCCCATGAGCTTTTCTACATTGTCCTAAATGTTGTTATGAGTTGGAATCAACTTTCTAGCAGTGGGTTTTGTTTTGTTTTTTAAAGAGGGGTCCTGAGACCAACATTAGGAAATGTTGAATATAAAGACAATGGCAAAGAGTTTGCTGGAGAAAGAGTAGTAGCATGTTAAAAGTAGTAGCCTGTTAAAAGGTGAATAGATAGTGGGTAGAAAAACAGAAGAAAGTGAAGGAGAATACTAGACTTTTGTCACAGAAGTCAATTTTAAGATAATGAGTGTAAAAATTGATTAAGAATTTGTGTCATCTTAGGAGTTTTAGTGGATTAGTGGGAGCAAGATACCAGGTTGTCACCCAAGGATGACTAGAAAATTAAGAAATATTGACAACAAGTATTGATTACTCTCAGCAGAATTTGACTGAAGGAAATAGTATCTATAGGGGCTTGAATGACATACGATGTGCTGAGGAAAAGATAGCAAAGTTATGATGGAGACAAAAATGCTGTATAAAAAAGAAAATAGGAACAAAATACCTTTTCCTGCATGACATAAAAAAGGATGAAATTCAGAACTGTGTGAACAGAGTAGTCTTGAATGTTGTTGTTGTTGTTAAGTGCCATCGAGTTGGTTGCGACCCATGGATAGAACTAGGAATACTCTTTTCTGGGTAGAGCGATGCATACTCAAAATAGAGGTTATCACATGAAAGAAGCATGAGTAGACTGTGGATTTGTGGGAAATGATAATTTTGTGAGGGATGGTAAGGGGAGTTTACTGGAGCACATATCCCTTATTTAAAGTCTTAGAATTCCTGATCTAAGTCCTGTGGACTTTCTCTGCTGACTAGATTTTTATCAGTGTAAGAGAAGGAACCTATGTTTCTTGACTATCCTCGTGGATCCACCCACTTGTACTTGACCTTGTAGGACCCTTCCCTGTCTTAATAAAATACTCTCCTCCTCTACTTTCTCATCCAACTCTACCCTAAGATATTAAGA